GCAGATCAAATCTCACCAGGCTCAAGGTTAACTCAGCCTTCCATCCTTCTGAGGAGGGTAAATGTCACTGCGTTTTTTTATTTCCCAGCTGAGCTTCATTATTTTTGGACTAATAGACTTACTGTAGTTTGCCAAGTTCCTTATCAGTATTTTACTACGCATGTCCACATTCTTTCACATTCCTTCACACACTCTTTCCTTTGTTCTCATGCCACGACTGCCGGTTGCTGAAAGGCAGCTGGCCCGACTTACTTTCAAAATGTAGTAATTATCTTTCTTAGTTAGTGAGGTGTTTTATTTTCTTTATAACAAATAAATGAGTTTTATTAGAGAACTTTTCTTCGGGATTTCTTTTCAGAATATTGCAACAAGGAGGAAGCCTCGATCCATCCTCTAACCAGGGTGATTGTCCCAGAGCCAAACATGGGATTAATCAATGCCCTGACAGTAAAATGAGGACCCAGATTGTTGGGGGCAATAGGCTGACTCTGTAAACCGCTTAGAGAGGGCTGTAAAAGCACTATGAAGTGGTATATAAGTCTATGTGCTATTGCTATATACCGCTTTACAGTGCTTTCCAGCCCCATCTAAGTGGTTTATAGAGTCAGCCTATTACCCCCAACAATCTGGGGTCCTCATTTTACCCACCTCGGAAGGATGGAAGGCTGAATCAACCTTGAGCCTGGTGAGATTTGAAGTGCCAAATTGCAGGCAGTCGGCAGGCAGCAGAAGTAGCCTGCAGTACTGCACTCTAACCACTGTGCTACCGCACCTTGGGATTAGCAACAACAAAAAAGCATCTTGGGATTTACAGCAACAGAGCACCAAACTGTATTTAGTTGACAAACTTCTTACAGCATTCAAGACCATGAAATGCAATATGTCACTGAAGATTCATTTTCTGCATTCACATTTGGACTTCTAGGTGCAATAAGTGACAAACATGGTGAAAGATTTAACCAGAACATTGCCACAATGGAAAAATGGTAACTGGAATCCATCAAAGCTGGTTGACGACACTGCAGCGAGATGCATCAGATACTGAGTACCAATGAAAATCACCAGCAAAACACTTTGGGCCCTCATGCAACCTGTCTGCAACATTATGCAATTAAATACACCATAGTCATTAAAAGTTACTTTCATATTTCTCAAGATTCCTGCAGTCATTCTGAAAGTATATTTGTGTTCAGTTTGAAGAGGTCTATCATAATCACCAAAGGTTTTTCAGGAAGCAATGGTTTGGGGGGGGGGAATATTGTCCAGTATTATTTCACTATAGGAGTTTGAACTCAGTTGCAGAAAAGTGCCTTGTAGTATCAGAGATTGTAAATGTAATATTTGTCTACAGCTTTTTAAGACAACCATATCTTCTTCTTCTTCTTCTTCTTCTTCTTCTTCTTCTTCTTCTTCTTCCTTCTTCTTCTTCTTCTTCTTCTTCTTCTTCTTCTTCTTCTTCTTCTTCTTCTTCTTCTTCTTTTTTGGACTCACACAGCTCTTCTCTGCAACAGCCATGTGATTAGAGAAAGACACTGTAAGGACCTGCCCCAGCTGTTCCCTCAGGAAAGCAAAACTCTTGACTCCATTAAGTTGAATCAAAAGAAATTTTACTTGGAAAAAGTGGTTGCAGTAAAATCAGGTGGAATCTGAAAAGCTCATGTTAAGCCCAAAGAAATTCTTCTCTTTCCCCAAACCTAATACACACATCCCCGACCAGTCCACTTGCAGCCCATACGATGCTGCAAGGTTGTTTTGAGAATGCTGAGGTGCTAGGCAGATAACAGTTCACTTTCAGGGTACGGTGGCCTTGGAACCAGGCTGGAGGGAGCCCACTTGCTAATTCCCAAGCAGTTACACAGTAAAAGCATGTGGAAAAAATGCTAGCAAGCCTCCCCCCCACCTTCCAACAGAATAGCAGGACATGATAGAGGATCTAACAGACACAGCTATGACAGAGTCACAGGCATGTGCTCTTTGCATTTGACTGCATTATCTATTTTAAATCTTATCCATATTTTTCTTAAATCCATTTCCCTACATCCAGACTCCCTCAAAACAGTGAATTACTGGCAGGAGTATCTTCGCTGGGGACATTCATCAATAAATAGAACCCTCTGTACATGGGAGCCTCTGTAAAATATTACTTTCTGAGCCACCAAATATGCAATTTTTCTCCTAACCACGAAGAACATGGAGGTTAATTCTTAGCAAGAAATAACAACGGCTTCAGATGAAATAAACTGGGAGCAGAAACCCAATTTATTTCAATGGAGTTCATTCAAGAGATGTTCCAGATGATTTGTGCCTTTAATGGTGTGGAAGTGAGAAATATCCAGTTATCAGAAGCTTGTATTTATTTTCATTTGTTGACTATCTGTCTCATTAGTATGGAAATGTAAACCACATACAATCTGCTTGTTTTTTTTTTAAAAAAAATAAAATTTGCTAAAAAGTAAGTGGCTTCTTCCATTGGTGGAATGGCAATACTTTTGAATTTTGTCGTAATAGCTTTTTGCTGTTTTAAACATCTAAAAAAGCTTATGGTGTCAGGCACAAAGAAGGTGTACTTTGTGTAGGAGTAATTAGAATGCTGAGGTACCCATTGTATTGGAGATTTGCAGTTTGCCAGCTTTGTAGATCTTAAAATAGAAAATACGCTATAGATCAACTTGGGATGTGTAAGTTAGTGTAGAACTGAGAAAAATGCAGGTAAAATAGCTGTATCAGTATCATAATGTACATGTGGGGGCAGTGAGAACAGTTGCTAGAGAGAGATGTCAAATAAAAGGTTATATTCTAATTTCCCCTTCCCCAAACCTGGACACGGTGCCCTTTTGAAATTGTCCATCATATTTGTAGATAGACAAACTGGGTGGATGATTTCTTTAAATTACTCCAGAGCAGGGTTCCTTGACCTGGGCTGCTTTAAGATATGTGAACTTGAACTCCAAGAATTCTGGGAGTTGAAGTCCACACATCTTAAAGTGGCTAAGGTTGAGAAACACTGTTCCAGAGGAAGAAATTCTCCAACAATATTTAGCAAGTACATGATCCCATTTTTAAGAAACCTGAGTTCTTTTGTTTCTATTTGCAAGAAAATTGGTAAATTTTGATATGCTCTTCTCGGAAGCACAATCACAATTCTCACTCATCACTGTCCTCTTCTTTTTATTTTATTTTATTTTATTGGATGGTTTGAAGAAACTTGATCTTTCTGAATTTCCACATGAAATTACCTGCTGTATATATTCCTGCTATACTGTATGAATGGATCAGGATGCCTGTTCATCAGTTTCACACATCTCCAAATGTTTAGATTAAGATTGTAAATTATTATGGAAATAGAAGGGAATAGAATTCTGGCAATGGAGAAGTAGCACAAACTGAAGATATGCAGTTTTACCTCCCTGCGAATATTGTATTTGAAAATAATATTCTGGGGATAGACAGTGGATCCCTCTGGAATCAATACAATCCCCCAGAGTTACCTCTTGGGCTTCAGCTATAGCTATGGTTGCACAGTCTTTAAAGATTAATCTGGTCTGTGGCATTCCAATGAAAAAATGAAAATAGTCACCAACTGCATAAACACAGAGAAATTTCTAAATAAGATCTTTTTTACTTAGCATTCTGAAGCATTGTCTATGCAGATTCTCAGTCATCCAGGTCGTGGTTGTCCCAAAAGGTGCTTTTTCAAGAGGCAACTGGACTTGCTGGTTTCTCTTTGAAGATGTTTCACTTCTCATCCAAGAAATGTCTTCAATGTCTTCAAAGAAAAACCAGAAAGTCCAGTTGCCTCTTGAAAAAGCACCTCTGGGATATTCTGAAGCATTGTTTTGTTATACTTGAAGCAAACAGATGGAGGCAGAGATTCCAAATGAAATCAGAACTAATACAACTCATAGTATTAAAAACCCACTCCCCTTTAGCCCATCTAGTTACAACCAGTTATTGTCTCTCAACACAGCCAGTTTCAACTGATGGCTGTTTCTTATTTCAACTATTGCCTTATCTTAGAGACAACATCTTGGCTGCTGTCAAAAAAAAAAAGAATATTTTTGCCTAATCTTAAACTCTGATCATTAATCTTTTGCCACAAACGTTGACTCACTTTGACATCTGCTAATGTAACTTGATTTATATAAGTCCTATGGAGCTACCAGGAAACAAAGTCTGCAAAGATTTTGATGTATGGCAAAATCAAGGCAACAGGGTACTATGTGCAACTAGCCAGTTAAAATCTGATGCTTGAAATCAAGAGGCTGACTGCAACTAGTACAAATAAAACCAACACAAATGACACAGAATTACTTCCCCTATTCACTTATAACTCTGCTGTTACATTTAACTCTTCAATTCACCTTATTGAGAGGGAGAAGAACCAACAAATATCATGTAACTTTTAATGAACACTTTCCAAATTAATATAAGTATATTCACTTTCTCTTCTCAAACTTCTCTTTGATGGCTCTGCTCACATAGAACTAATCCAAACAATTAACAAAGGTTATATCAACCATTCAGTCTTCTCACACTACTAGTTCCATAACTAGGATCTTATATATTCTCCATGTAGATAACTCATAGTCATATCTGTGATGGATTATGTCTATGGAGGGAGAGGTGGTATGATGGACTACAGTGAAGAGGCAGTTTCCCAGGGTGAAAGGAGCACATTTTAAGGGTGTGTGTGTGAGAGAGACAAAAGACAACATAGCCCAGAGCTGGATTGGAAAAAAAGGAAGAGATTTAGGGTAGCCACTCCCTAGAATCTCCCAGGGTAGTACTATACATGTTTAGTCTGGCAAGATTCTGTCTATCGGGTATGACCAAATAAAGAATTGAAATTTGGCTACATTCTTCAGTGTCATTTTTGGGCTAGGCCTGATAAATATGGTTAATGTTTCCTGTTCTGTATCAGCTGACTGCCATAGGTACGATTCTGTCTAGACACTTATAGAATCTCCAATATAGCAGTGAACATTCCAAATTCCACCTTATGATGGTGACAGACGTCTTGCCCTGCATATATATTTAAAGGGAGTCCTATTGCTTTTCCACAGAAAACATTCACTTATGAAGGTAGTGGTAAGTCAACATGCTTCTCCCCGTTCCATAAATAACTTCACTTCTTAATTGTTGCAGATAAGGAGCAAAACCAAACCAGACTGGTTATTTTGTTTAGGTGGTAGCTCCTCTCCTCTGCATTATATAACCTGAGTACACATGTTAACAAGCAATTAACACTGTCTCCCATCAGACCTCCCCTCTGTACACAACTTCCAGGAGTTTTTGTTTTGCTTTTTATAGAACAAATAAACCATCCAGGCAAAAATTAATAAGGCAGCTTTAAAAAGAATAAAAACACCCCCCTTAAGTAAAAAAAAGAGACAAAAAGAAAATAAACTTGGGGAAGATGTAGCCTTAAGAAGAAATGCAGGCATGTAATCATTTATACCTGATAATACTACCCAAAAGAATATCAGCATAGAAGAAGATCATTCATTGGGGAACTTTCTTAATATAGCTAAGACATGGTGACCAGCATGTAACCTCTAGTTACTGGTGAGGGAAAGGAGCCAATAATATCCTTGTTTCAATTTACTGGAAGCTGGCCACTTTTGAAGATTTATGAAAAAATATCAGTGCAGAAGTTCAACATGAATAAACTCATTTAGGACTCTACCAATAAACAGAAGAGCTGGAAAGAAATTTGTGCACCAAAAACATACTTCTGAAAATCCTGAGGTTCACAGCCCAGAAAAATACATGTGAAAGCTTGTGTGGTGGAATATAAATGGGAATAACACTAAACCAAACTACCCAAAGCTCTTTTGTTGTCATCGGGAAAAAAAAATACTTGCAGAAGATGCGAACATGAGAAAAATGCTAGCAAACACTCATACCGTAAAGTAAGTAGATAGGCAGGTAGATAGATAGATAAATACAGGTAGGTAGGTAGGTAGATGATAGATAGATAGATAGATAGATAGATAGATAGATAGATAGATAGATAGGAGAGAGAAAGAGAGAGAGAGAGAGAGAGAGACACAGAGAGAGAGACAGAGACAGAGACAGAGACAGAGACAGAGACAGACAGACAGACAGACACATAATGGATGGATGGATGGATGGATGGATGGATGGATGGATGGATGGGCGGGCAGGCAGGCAGGCAGACAGATGCATCCACACATTCATGTATAAAATATTTACATACATTATTCCTGTGTTAATTATAAATGATGGTTTTGAACGAATGTTTCATTGATTTAAAAACAAAATGCTAGCAAATATAGAAAAGATTACCATTCTTTTACAAAATCCTGCTGGCCTACCCAAGACATATACTGATAATAACCAAGCTTCAAGTACTCCACTTCCTCCTTTCTCCCTGTCCCACCTCAGTAATTTTAGGTTGAACAGAAAGAAATGTTGATGGCCGAAGCTTTAAGATGGATCATTTAATTTTCAAGCATGGCTTTTATGAGGATGCAGCATTTTAAAGAAAAGGGCTCTGGACCGTCTCTAATTTTGAAAGAGCAGGGGGGTTTTTTACAACAGTTTTTTGTTCATTTATAAGCAGGGAAATCAAGCTCTTTAACTCAAAGGTCTTTGTGTTTGGCTTAACCCAAGCTGCTATACATTGCCATTCAAGGACATTTGAAGAGTGAATATTATATCTTTATAATATTATAATAACCATTACCATCATAAGTTTGGAAAACTAATTAAACCTTATGGACCATTATAAATTTTACATGGAGCTCTTTAGAGAAAGAACTATAATAGGAGATATGGACTAGTAAAAAACATTGTTTCTCCCTGTAAAGACAAAGCAGTAACAACAAAAAAACACTTATTATTATCATGTTGAAGGCATAGCAGCCAGATGTTAAGACTACCGTGTTTCCTCGAAAATAAGACCCTGTCTTATATTTTTTTGAACCCTGAAATAAGCGCTTGGCCTTATTGCCATGCGCTCAAAAGCCCGTTTGGGCTTATTATCAGGGGTTGTCTTATTTTGGGGGAAACAGGGTAGAAATAGGGAGGATACATGAGATCTGGGTGTGGCTTACTAATGATGGCTAACAAGCCAGAAATAGATCTATATAAGTCTCTCACTAAGCAGCATAGGGCAGCATAGGGCCTGCTGGTGGGAATGGAGATTTTGCAATATCCTTCCCCTAGAGTGGGGTGGAATGGAGATTTTGCAGTATCCTTCCCCCACCATGCCCACCAAGCCACGCCCACAGAACCAGTAGTAAAAAATTCGGATTTCACTACTGTGTGTGGGTAATCTACAGTTACATTCACAGTCTAAGACTGGTGGGAAATTTAATACTATTTAATATTAATTTAATAATAGTTCTAATCAAGGAGTTAAGTAGCATCCAAGAACATAGGAAATTCCAAGCAGGGTATTTATTTTTTTTTATTTTTTTTGTAAAATTAGAGTGTCCAATTCTGATAAATTCAATATTTCCAGATATATTCAAGGAAGTCCTTTAAGTATCAGTCCGAGGGCTCTAATCATGACTGGTATAACAACAGATTTCTTTCCCACAGACATTCAACATGTCCAGATATTTTGCATTTTTTTTCCCCAGTTGCTTTTCCTCAATTCTAGCATCACTCACAATAGCAACCAGTTTTTTTTTCTTTTCAATAACTTCACCTTCTCATTTTCTAAAACTTTCTCAATTTGATGGTCCCAGTAATTTTTATTACATTCAGTTCCAAACCTCTGGCAAAATTTCCAATGAATAATACTGGCAACTCAGACATGACACCAGTTATAATTTTGCTGCAGCCACTGATCAAATGATCAGTAGTTTCATCCATTTTACAACAAAGGCAGCCGTTATTGTTGCTTGTTAATGCTGAATTTTTATCTTCGTGCAATTAGTTAATTAGTTAAGGGAATTCTTATTGATGTTTATATGTTCCTCTATGACCTAAATAAAGATAGAAATTTTAAAAAACACTAAAAAAAAAAACCTTGATTACCTTCTTGATTATATTGCTTTAATGTTTAACTAGTTGCATTTAAAATGTAAAGTATTCTCTTTGATGGTAGACAAGTTAAGACTGGCCTCGTGCTTAGTAAAAGCAATGAAACACCTCTGAGATTTGGTTTATGAATTTGGCTCACTTTCTCCTCTAGCATAACTGTGAGAAGATGGCTGGAAAGTTTAACCATTTATTAGAACCAGAAAATGATGGCAGCTTACATGGTCCATAATTGTTGACTTTATCATCTTTGATGAAATCACTAGAGTCTTCTTGATGATGCTGTAGAACAGGGTGTCCAACTCGATTTCATTGAGGGCCACATCAGGGTTGTGTTTGACCTTGGGGGGGAGCTGGGGGTGTGTGTGTGGGCTGGGGGGCATGGCATGGGGGGGGGACACATGGCCAGGGGTGGCCAGGCTCCATTTTCACTGGCAGAATGCTGCAGGAGGCCGTTGCAGCCGAAAACAGAGCCCGGGAAGGCTGCGCTTGGCCCTCCTGAGCTCTGTTTTTGCTGGCAGATGCACCATGGGCCAGTTCTTTGCTGTTTCCAAGGCAGCCCTGTGGGCCAGATCTAAGCACCTCACAGGCCGAATCTGGTCCACAGGCCTTGATTTTGATACACCTGCTATAGAACTAGGTACAGCTCTGAAGCTTTCAGTACCCCTCCCTTCCAATCCCTTCTTCCACCTATCTTATGAACTAGATGCTCTAAATTCTCATCATAAACTGTTTCTTCTTACATAAATGGTTCACCTATTTCCCACAACAGATGGATTGAATCAATTTACTAAATATGTTTATTGAATTTAGTTAGAAATATAGTTACAATATAGTTAGGATCAGTGGTGGGTTTCAAAAATCTTTATTACCGGTTCTGTGGGTGTGGCTTGGTGGGTGTGGCAGGGAAAGGATACTGTAAAATCTCCATTCCCTCCCCAATCCAGAGGAAAGTTACTGCAAAATCCCCATTTCCTCCCGATCAGCTGGGACTTGGGAGACAGAGAATAGATGGGGGCGGGGCCAGTCAGAATTTTTACTACCAGTTCTCCGAACTACTCAAAATTTCCACTACTGGTTCTCCAGAACTGGTCAGAACCTGCTGAAACCCACCTCTGGTTAGGATATAGTTTGGCAGCTATAGAAATTGAATTAATAAATAAATATTAATTCAATATCCATAGCTGCCCAACTCAACCAAGTGATACTACTTCTTATCCTTGCTCCAAGGGATTTGGATGATGGGGTATTAAATATAATCTTACTAGCTAATAACTCTTTAGCTATACATGGAATGTCTGGCTGACCAGAACATTGAAAAGTGTCTCATATAAAGCCAGGTATTTAGGTCATCTAGTATCTAGGTAGAGGTGGATTGTGAATTCATTTATTAGAATTTCAATGTATACAAACCTAATTTTAAACTAATCAATATGTGAAATGATCCGACAAATAAGTTAAAATGCCACAACATCTTGACATTTGTACTTCTGCAATGCAGTTTTCTGGTTATAAGACAAATACAAAATTGAAGGAAACTGAAGGAAATTCATCTTATTAAAGTAAACAAACAAACAAACAGGAACATAAAAACTATTTGATTACTTAGTCAAAATTATTGTTTCTTGGAAGTCCCTGTACTAAAACTCTTTGGAAGCAGATGGATTTGTATGAATTCCTTGAAAACAGGCAGTTCCTTATACATTCCGTCCATTTTCTGCAATGTCAATGTCACAATGCCAGAGCAGCTTCAGAGAAACTTGAAACTTTGGGAATACCTCAGTCACACTTTAAAATACATTTGTAGAGGACCTGACAGGTGTCTAATATAATCACTGGGGGAGGGGGGACTGAATTTATTCTTCCCCCCATTTTGGAGGATCTGGAGAATCTAAGGCAGTGTTTCTCAACCTTGGAAGCTTGAAGATGGGTGGACTTCAATTCCCAGAATCCCCCAGCCAGCGCTGCTGACTGGGGGATTCTGGGAGTTGAAGTCCAACCCATCTTCAAGCTTCCAAGGTTGAGAAACACTGATCTAAGGAGTCCAGAAGTCTATATGGAACTTACCATCCTTC